CCATAACGCCCTAAAGCAAATCCTAACCATCCCTTTGTGGTATGGAAACTTGTAGTATAATTTCAGAGAGATCCATACACCGTTCCACAGTTATTTTCTGGAAACTAGAAAATGCTTATTTTTGGCCCCTAATTCCTTAACTGTTGGTACCATAACCCCCAAAATCAATCCCAAGCTTCCTTTTGTGGTATTTAACCTTATAGTCAAATTTCAAAAAGATCCATTCACTAAAACTAAAGATAGAGTGCGAAAACCAATGTGTCTTCGGACGACGACGACGACGCCAACGTCATACCAATATACGACCACAAAATTTTTTTGCGGTCGTATAAAAATTGAATCCTAATTTCCTGTCGATATGCACATCTACGTAGTATGTCCTTATTATCTGAAAAGGTTTCATGAAATTCTATTGTGTGGTTTGAGAGGAGTTGCGATGACAAAAGGTTGCAGTAGTATATTGGGCAAATAAGTTCAAAGGGGCGCAACTCCTGGAAAAAAAATTGAATCGTAATTTCCTGTCGATATGCACATCTATGTAGTATGTCCTTATTATCTACAAAGTTTCATGAAATTTTGTTGTGTGGTTTCAGAGGAGTTGAGATGACAAACTGTTGCAGTAGTACATTAAAGTAAATAAGTTCAAAGGGGCGTAACTCCTAGAAAAAAAATTGAATCGTAATTTCCTGTCGATATGCACAACTACATAGTATTTCCTTATTATCTAAAAAAGGTTTCGTGAAATTCTGTTGTGTGGTTTGAGAGGAGTTGCGATGACAAGAAACAGGACTGACGGACTGGTCAAAAACATTATACCCTCCGCAACTCGTTGCGTGGGGTATAATTAAGTTCTTTATTTAAAGAACCTTATTGAGCAAGCTCACATACCCCACTTCATCACTAGGCAAACAAAATCTCACCAGATTCCTAAGTTCAAAGACGCATATCTCCTATAAAAGTCAACTGATAAAAATTTCTGTGGATATGCACATTTGCATATTATGTCCTAAATGACTACAAAGTTTCATGAAATTCTGTTGTGTGGTTACAGAGTAGTTGAGATGACAAAATGTTATAATAGCATATTTAGGCCAAAATTCTAAGTTCAATTGGGCATAACTCATTGAAAATAAAGTGAATCATAATTTCCTGACGATAAGCACATCTACATATCCTTATTATCTACAAAGTTTCATAAAATTCTGTTGTGTGGACTCTGAGGAGTTGCCATGGTAAACAGTTGCAGTAGTATATTTAGGCCAAAATTCTAAGTTCAAACAAGCATAAATCCTAGAATAAAGGTTGAATCATAATTTCATGTTGATACGCACATCTACATAGTATGCCCTTATTATCTACAAAGTTTCATAAAATTCAGTTGAGGGATTCCAGAGGAGTTGTGATGACAAGAATAGGACTGATGAAAGGACAGACAGAAGGGTCAAACACATTAAACCCTACAGAACTTTGTTCCATGGAGAAAGTTCTGTGGGATGTAAATATGTGCAATACATATACATCAAGGACTTGAAACTTACTCCTTTAAGTGAGGGATATCTGTATCGTTTTGGTTTGTGAAGACCATTTCTGTGCTGTTTACGATCTGAAATTATACAAAAGGAAAACAATAGAATAATTGTTTGCCATAACATAGTCAGATTTTTATTTAAAATCCATCTTATTCTGTTGTAGCAGAAGTACCAACAAGTATTTTGTATTATGTAATAACTTGAAGGGCCATTTGAGAAGCAGGAATTGTTGACCCTTCAGTAGCATTTTATTTATTTTCACTATAATTCACACATGATAGTGAACTGTTGACCCTTCATTAGCATATCATTTATCTACAGTATAATTCACACGATAGTGAACTGTTGACCCTTCATTAGCATATCATTTATCTACACTATAATTCACACGATAGTGAACTGTTGACCCTTCATTAGCATATCATTTATCTACAGTATAATTCACACATGATAGTGAACTGTTGACCTTTCAGTAGCATATCATGTCTACACTATAATTCACACAATAGTGAACTGTTGACCATTCATTAGCAAATCATTTGTCTACACTATAATTCACACATGATAGTGAACTGTTGACCTTTCAGTAGCATATCATTTGTCTACACATGATTTTAAATATAGCCGACTATACAGTATAGGTTTTGTTCATTGTTTGGAATTTGTTGGATTGTTGTCTCATTGGCAGTCATAGCACATCTCCTTATTTTACAAGTTTCCAGTTGATGTGACTTCATCAGTCCAAAGTAAACTACTGTAAACCATAACCTGATATAAACTCTTTCTGGAGGCCATAGAACAGGCAAGGTATTGTGAAACCAATTATTTAAAATATCATAGAAACATTTTTTTTAAGATAAATTATTAATCTTATGGAGAGTTTTTCAAATTGTATACTACCTACTCTGATTATGAGCTGTATGATTCTTGGACTTTGCCATTCTATTTTTTTTTGCTTTAGTCTTTCAGTCTGTAAAAAACAAAACAATGTTATTGATAAAAGATACTCATGTATAAATTAAAATGTTTTTTATTTAAAATCTTCATTTTATTTACTCCTACCAAGCTAACTACTTGTATTTTACTTTATACCAAAGCTAGTTATAACCACAATCATGATTTCCAAACACATGACTTTAATACCAAATAAGCTTTGTAAATACCAGTTATTAGTAATCTTAAATGATTAACATTTGATAATTATTCGTGGATGGTAAAGGGTTATTTTCGTGCAATGTTTTCGGCCTTTTCATTTCACGTGTTTTAGTGTTTTGATGTTTTATTTCTTGTTTTCTCATGTTTGGTTTGATATGCGTGCTTCGTGTTTCCCCTTATTTTTCGTGTTTCATGTCGGTACTCTTTATTTCTCGTGCTTGTCCCACATTTGATTAAAAAGTAAACCCGGACTAATTCAAAGTCATCCCGGATATTGTTTTAAATTATGTATTAATGAACTGGTTCTCAGGATATTAATTGCTCTCTTCATTAATAGCCTTTAAGTACTTAAATAACAGTATCAATAAGTTGAAATGGAGGAAAATTCAAAACATATTGTTGAATGATTTATATACTTCTTTAACAGCAGTGATAGCAGTGAACCGCCTTTAGCAAAAGAAAGGCAACAGGTAAAGGTTGACCTTGGCCAACCACTGAATCACATGATTAAAATAAAAATATGTGATACGAGCAGGCTTCATGAGGAAGCGGCAAAAAAAGGTTTGGGGGACAACATCTCTGTAACAGTTGGAAGGATAGAGAAAGGGAAAGATGGGACCAAAGTATTCACCATCAGCACAGAGGAAAGTTTCCATCTGGAAAAGAAACCACTTATTCTGAAGCCAATCTTACAAGGTATGGATCATTATGAACTCATACCATTCTACTTTTGATTTGATTTGATTTTTTGTGTTTTAACGCCACTTTTAAGCACCGCTTTTGGGCTATTTCGTGGCGGCCAGTTTTTATTGGTGGAGGAAGCCGGAGTGCCCGGAGAAAACCACCGACCTACGATAGGAAAACTGACAATCCTAGTCAATTAAGATTGGAGTCGAGTGCACCCGCATGAGCGGGGTTCGAACTCACAACCTCAGTGTTGACTGGCTAGTGATTACAGTAGTAACTGCTTAGACCACTCGGCCACCGAGGCCCCCATTCTACTTTTGAAATTCTATTGTATATGTATGGTATGTAATAAAGTCTATAAAATTACTATGAATAATATTTTTTTCAAATCAGATGCCACTAGCAGACGCTAAAAGGTGACTGCAGGGTCTTCATGTCCATTTATAACAATGACTGCATTTTCTCCAAGAACGTATGAGTAATAACTTCTAGTACTTTTTTCCTAATATTTTACGATTTTATTTCTCGATCTTCGTTTTTCCCTGATTTTTATTTTCTGTGCAATGTTTTTGAGATTTTTATTTCTTGTTTCCTTGTTCATACTCCCCCCCTTTACCACCCTCTTAATCACTTCAACACCCAAAAAATATTTCATTTAAAAACTTCACGAGTAATTCGTGAAAATGTAAGTATTTTGATATATACATCTGAAAATACATCTAATAATTCAACTGTATTTGAATAAAAATAGGGTGGCAACGTGTGGGGGTGCGAATTAGTCCGAGATTACTCTGACGTCAAACGGCTGTTTTGCCCGACAAGCTTGGGCCATGGGACGTCAGAGCTCGTCCCATATAAAAAAGTGGATATATCTAACAAATTGAGGCCCGATCTATATGGAATCAAGGCCGTCAGTCAGCTCCAGAAGCAACAAAGTGACGCATCCATTTTGGACAGGTAAATATCCACTTTTTTATATGGGACGAGCTGTGACGTCCCACGGCCCCAGCTTGTCTTGCAAAACAGCCATTTGACGTCAGAGTAATCTCAGACTAGGTGCGATTGTGTTTTGGGAGCGAACGAGTCCGATACCATTGAACCCAAACCTGTAAAACTAGGATTTATACACAATTTGTCAAGTCAAATTATCCCCTGGTTCATTTGACTATTAACACGCAAGGATAAACCTATATAGATATACTATATAAGGCAGTAATTAACAATTAGATAGTGCAATAAAGAATTTGTTAATGTTAAAAAAAAGTTATAGGAACTTAGTTATATTATCGCCGAAACGGCCCGGCCATCTATAAGCCACGGATAATTGTCTGAAGTAAAATTTTCAGAAAAATACCTTCAACAAATATCAAAATTTCGTTTTGTACGAGATCTTGCACATTTCATCGACTCTTCTTCAAGAACACATGAAGAAGCAAAATAATAAAAGATCGTCAACACTGTGAAATATAACTGATAAATATCATCCCAGATAAAAATGATTTTGAAAACTTTGAAATATTTAGAAGAACTATATTGGTTTTGCCTTAAAAACTGGTAAATTCATAAAATACTTGAATTTGAAAGATAGATGGGCGCAGATTTGTAATCAACATAAAGTATTTACACTACAGGCAGTCAGAAAGTGAAACCGGAAAAGGAAGTGAGGGGGAATTTATTATTGTCCCCGAACAGTCTAGTAGTCGATTTGTTCTCCTGCAGTTTTATTAATTGCTGTTAAATGTTACCTTTTTGCGTTGAATGTCCTAAAACTACTTTTTCTTAGAATGAGAACATAAATTCAATCAGTATTTTTTTTAATTTATAATCATCCTTTAACGGCCACCGTTCGGATCTCCTCTAGACAGTCATTGATGGGCAGATAGAGTAAAAATTTGAGAAATGTTTGATTGTTTTCTGTAACTGGAAATGACATGCTACAAATATATGTCATAAAGCTTATAGAATTACTAAGTAAGGGGTAGTATAGTTATTGAACAGATACAAATTTGTAATACTGCTGAGTCAAAACCAGTACACCTCTGATAATTTTTCCAAGGATTTGTATTGTGATTGATATTACTATACAAATCCTTGATTATTCCAACAAAGTTGATTAATAAATTCTGAATCCTAGAGGTTTCATGGCATTCCAACCCCAAGTCGATCAGACCCAATTTGTTTGGGCCACAGTCCTGAAGTTGATCTGGCCCGAAATCAATCTAGCACATATTTAATTTATAATTGATTCAGACCTTAAGTATAAGGCTATGATGGCTATATATAAATACTTTTAAGGGATTTTATTTATATATGACTTGTAATAAGTAAAGGATTATGAATTTTATGAACGATAGCAATGGTTGGCGATAAAAAAATTGAGTCTTTGACTGTACAGTGGTGTTCCGATGATTGATCGGTATCTGGATGATTCCTTCCAACTCTGATTTGTGCTTGGTCAATTCGCTCAAACTTTTAAATGAACATTGTTTAACCATATGAACTATTAAAATTACCTTATAACGTTTATTTTAGTGCTATACATACAGTCAGGGGTACTACTTGTACAAGTAATCTTTATTTACTTGAAGAAGTAAATAATGATATACTTATATAAGTAAATTCTGTTATGTTCATTTTTTCTTATAATGTTTGACTAACCTCCCTTAATTTTCTTAAAAATTTACTTGTATAAGTAAATTTTTTTACAATCCCTAAAATTCTCAAGTTTTGAGATGTAAAAACATGCCTTTAACAGTTTTTCTCAGGTTAGCTCATAATTTTTTATTAGAGTTCAATGTTTCATCTCCTTAATTCAACAAAGAAACTAATTGTGCAAAGATCTTAGTAATTGTGCAAGGCCTTCAAAAATTATGAGCTTGTTCTGAAGATAACAGACAAATCAGATTTTCATTGTCCATGAAATTACACTTAAATGATTAGTAAAGACATCTGCAAAGGACAGACGATTAAAAATTCTATTAGAGCAAAGAAGTCCTGAGAAATTCAAGAAAAGAAGATAGTATGATTTTTTTACTTGTACAAGTAAAAAAATCTGAATGTCTAAGGGACATAACTAAGCCAATAAAATAATTTACCTATATAAGTAAATAAAATAGACTTGTCATGTGCTTGTATAAGTATCTTACCAATTTACTTATATAAGTATATTAATATTTACTTCTTCAAGTAAATAAAAATTACTTGTACAAGTAGTACCCCTGACTGACGTAAACATGATATAAAATGTATGTAATATAAATATTTACTTTTTTTTTTAATTTATTTATATGGTTTATTCTGGAAATGATATATTGATCGAGTAAACTATTTATCTAAGTAGATATTTCATGAGCTTACAGTGTAATATAAAAAACTACAAACTAGTTTTATTTTCCAAGAAATAATTATTTTATCCCAATTGCGTATTTTATCACTATGCGCAGAAAAGTCTGTTATGCATTCATCAAAAGAATATAAACCCGTACTCAGCTTGGGTCATAATTCCTATATTTTTTTTCTAGGACAACTTCATAAAAAACCTATGAAAATTAAATTTTGAAACTTAAATATTATAAAGGCTTCAAATTCCGAATATTTTTACATTCCATCATGGAATCTTGTTGTGTTGTTTGCCATCGTTCTTAATGCATAAGACAATTTATTTTAAATTATCATACAGGTTCACACCAGGAAAAACAAGAAAATGTATTACTAAATAAACAAATATACTTCTCACAATTCTGCGTTTTTCAAAAAATGAAAATAAGATCTATTGGAAAACATAGTTTTTGTCGAGCCTGCTATTTTTGTCGCAGAAAGCTTGACATAGGGAAAGTGATCCGGCGGTGGCGGCGGCGTTAGCTAACTTCTTAAAAGCTTTATATTTTCCATGGTGGAAGACCTGGATGCTTCATACTTTGTATATAGATGCCTTATGTTATGAAGTTTCTGTCTGTCATATGCCCATTGTCCATGACCTCATTTTCATGGTTCAGTGACTACAATGTACTTAAAAAAAAAGTTAAGATTTTTTGTAATGTTAATTTCTCTCTTATTATGAGTAATAGGATAACTATATTTAATATGTGCGTACCTTGCAAGGTCCTCATGCCCTCAGACAGTTTTCATCTGACCTCGACCTCATTTCATGGATCAGTGAACAAGGTTAAGTTTTTCGTGGTCAAGTCCATATATCAGATACTATAAGCAATAGGTCTTCTATATTTGGTGTATGGAATGATTGTAAGATGTACATGTCCAGCTGGCAGGTGTCATGTGACCTTGACCTCATTTTCATGGTTCAGTGGTTAAAGTTAAGTTTTTGTGTTTTGAACTATATATCCTTCAATATTCGCAATCTTCTCAATTCTAATTACAATGCCAGTAACTACATCAACTACTGAACGGTCATTTAGTGCATTAAGGCAGAGACATATATACACTGTGTATATATGTCTCTGATTAAGGCGACCGAAAACTTATCTCCATTCAACCATGGTACAGGACAGACTATCTTCGTTGGCGCTCATACATGTTCACAAAGAAATGGATATTAACACCGAGAGAGTTCTGCGATCATTTGCCTTGGCACAAAATAGATATATGGACTTTCGATATTAACTATACTTTAAGTCTTACATGCAGTATTAACATTTAATAATACAGGCTCAATACAATCACCTTGAAAACATCTTAGATTTATATCCCTTACTTATAAGTCAAGACTTAAAAGTGGCCGTTAGATTTTGTATTCCCATTGTCCGTTCGTCCAAAAGACTATTGATTCACCTGGGGTATCTGTGTCCCAAATGACCTTCTACCGTTGTCGTAGAAACCTCTCCTTTGATTTGAGAATGACCTTCGTGAGACACACTACATGTGTCTTGCAAGAAGAGGAACTGCTTACCCTTTTGGCCGGAGCACCGGAGGTCGCCACATTGTTTTCTGGGTCCGTGTTTTTCATCTGTATTTAGTTTTCAATGTTGAATGTTTTTGTTTCTCCTTTTGTGTCTTATCTGTTCCCAGGTTTGTCAATTGTCCATTGATTAACGCTTCGGTTGTCGACTCTTCCTGATCTTCCCGTTTTATAAATTTTTTTTATATTTGAAAATAACCATGTTAATAATATAAGCAGAAAATTACGGAACTCACTAGACTTTTACTATCGTTTCATGAAAATATGGTATAGTAAGAAACAGATAGGGTATTTTTCATGTTCAAAGCAGTCACTGTAATTACTCATATGCCCGGAGCTTCATGGGGATTCGCTTCCCTGGACCACCGTCTACGGTGCTGCCCTGAATCCCCGACTAGGGTGCTATCCTGGACCAGCTGGGGACTTTGAGCGGTCCATAGCCTCCTCCCTTGCCGAATCACTATAAAGTCCACAAGTATTCACAAAATAGTAGTTTGGGCGTGAATGTGATGTGAATTTCATAAGCATGGCATACCGGGAAAATGCCCGAAAAAAGTTATCATTTTCTGCATAAAATGGTCCAAAAAATTTTTTTTAAAAAATAGTTATGATTGCACTTTATTTAAGTCCAGCTACGCCCCTGTTCATTGCTTAGTGTTTAGTTTTTGTGATTTGGTCTGTTTTTCTTAAACTATAACCAATAGGTCAACTATATTTGTTGTATGGAATGATTGTAAGGTGTATATGTCTGTCTGGCAGGTATCATCTGACCTTGACCATATTTTCATGGTTCATTGGTCAATGTTAAGATTTCCTGGTTAAGTTTGTTTCTTAGATACTATAAGCAATAGGTCAACTATATTTAATGCATAGATTGATTGTAAGGTGTACATGTTTGTCTGGCATGGTTCATCTGACCTTAACCTTATTTTCATGGTTCATTGCATTGGTCAATGTTTAGTTTTCCTGTTTAAGTCTGTTTCTTATATAATTAGAAACTATAAGCAATAGGTCAACTATATTTGGTGTATTGAATGATTGTAAGGTGTACATGTATTTCTGGATTTGTTTATCTGACCTTGACCTCATTTTCTTGGATCATGTTAAGTTTATGTCATACTTCACTACAAACCAGTAAAAGTCTGAAATGGCCTATATCTGTACTCGACTGTACTGATTTTTACTCGACCAGTCTGAATTGGTCTGAATTTTACTTAATATTACTCGACCCAGTCTTAACCATACTCGACTGTACTGATTTGTACTTGACCCTTATTTTTGCTATTGAAAATAGTCTAAACTATTACTCGACCAGTCTGAAACAGTCTTAACCCAGTCTGGACCAGTACTCGACCAGCTCTCGACCTATTTTTTCAGTCTGAACCATACTCGACCAAAGGTCTGAACAATACTCGACCAGTCTGAACCATACTTGACCAAATAACCTCTTCTTTATAATTTTGATTGTTTAAATAACTTTCTCTTTAGCTTACATGACAACAGCCACAATTAAATAAAGATATATATAAAAACATTTTTTACATTCTTTAATAATACATGATTCTCTTAGATTTGGCAAATCGAGATAGTTAAATTATCTAATTTTAAAGTCTGAGTCTTGTTAAATAAAAGACTTTTTTTACCTGAAAACCACACCTATACTGAGGGTAATAAAACCTTATTAAAAATGAGGTGCTTTTTGTTTGGCATGTGTTTTTTTTTTTAACAAAACTTGATTTTCCTAAATTCCTAAATAAAAACGAATGTAGGACAGAAAGTCACAGGACAAAAAGTCACAATTCAGTTTTGAGGTTATTTTTCTTTGAACAATAGAACACTTATTTTTAAAAAAACATTTTTGTATTTTTCTTGAAACAATATCAATAATGATCAAATAATTGTTAAGAAAACAAAATGTTACAATGTCTTGGTACTTAAATGGCTTCATGGTGCCAAGAAATATATCCTTTGCATGATTAAAATTTTATAAATCTTTATTTATCAAATTAAGTCTTATGAACAATTTCCTAAACTGTAAAATGAATATGTGTCATAAAAAGTAAACATTTCAAGATCTTTCTCATAAATATTCAATCAATTGTATACAAATTATTTGTGACTTTTTGTCCTATCAAATTTGTGACTTTCTGTCCTGTGACTTTTTGTCCTGTGACTTTCTGTACTTAGGTTTTATGGTTATATACAATAGTTATATAACTATCTTTTTAATGAGGTAACAACAGCCAACAAAATCACTGACATTGTTTAACCTTATATCAGAAATATATCTATTCCTATTCATAATTTGGGATATATATATATTTTAAAAGGGATAAAAAATTCAAGAAATGAATAAAATTTTTCTTCTGATTAGGGGTAAACTATAAAGTAGTACATCCTGCTTGACGCACACTGATTAAAAAGATCACCCCTGGTCAGAGAGTAATAAATTTTAAATAACATCCATTGAAAATTACAACATCCTGTAAAACTTAAATAATAAGGCCTTTGAATTCACTAGATAAGTAATACACGAGTTTAAGAAAAATATGGTTTTCTTTTTACCTGTAAAACACCTGTACTGAGGTAATTAAACCATTAAACCTTATTAAACTGCTTCTTGTATGCCATGTCTTTAATTTTGACAAAACGTATTTAAATTTAATTAAAATAAATTTCTACTGCAACTTTGGAAGACATTTCCTTTTTTAAAAGGTTATCAAGGATAAAAAGATGAAAGTTTTATTATTATTATTAGATTAAATTTTTAATTTTACAAAACAAAGGTGTCAATTCTAATTTATTAAGTTGCTTTATATACTATTTTATATATATTTTGATAAAAAAAAAATTGAATAACATTTAAGATATTTGAATAATGGTTGAAAGTTATAGTATTTTTGATGCATAAATCAATGTGAACATGATATCATGTATATGAAAATTCATTTAACGAACTTAATTTATTACATGATATTTTTTTAATCCAACCAGAAATTTGATCACCTTGTTTCATTTTAATTTTAAATGCGATATACATTTTATATATATATATATATATATATGAATAACAGTTCCTAAATTAATGAAAAAATAATATAGATAGATACAAAAAATAGGTCTAGGTTGGTTAAGACTTGGTCGAGTATGGTTCAGACTAGGTCGAGTATGGTTCAGACTAGGTCGAGCATGGTTCAGACTTGGTCGAGAATGGTTAAGACTATGTCGAGTATGGTTCAGACTCATATAAAATGGTTAAGTACTGGTCGAGTAAAGGTCGAGTACAAGTTCAGACTGTTTAGTATGGTTCAGACTACAGTCGAGTAATATCAAGTAAATTTCAGACCAATTCAGACTGGTCGAGTAAAAATCAGTTCAGTCGAGTACAAATATAGGCCATTTCAGACTTTTACTGGTTTGTAGTGCTTTTAGTAAAGCTTTATATTTAGGACTATCAACATAAAATCAATGGTCAGTAAAGAAGGCGAGACATTTCAGCGTGTGCACTCTTGTTTTTGAAACATTGCAAATCATTGGAAGTGAAAATTACTTTTGCACTGGACACTGATCTATACAAATACTATAATATACAGAGACATATACATTTAAAAAACAGTAGTAAATGCTTTTAGTCCCAGTAATAATGAACCAAATTATAAAAATCAGTTAGAACGAATTGACCATTGACTCGGAACGAATTGACCAAATCTGGGACGAATTGGTTTGGAACGAACTGGACTTGGAACGAATTGACTAGTATTTGATTGATTATAATAAAAAAAATCGGGTGATTGTACTGCCATTCCAAGCACTCTTTTATAAAAATGATAATGTCTGATTAATTGAAAATTTTGTAGTATCACTTTCACTTTTGATTCCTGTTACTGCTGACTTCATCAAGTTTAGTATTTTGGATTGTATCTCAATGAAAAGTACATAAACACAATTTTTTTAAAATAATTTGACCTAATTCAAGAGTTTAAAAATTAAATAAGAAGTGAGACAGTAAAACTGAATGTGCATCTATGTTTTTGATAAGTTTTAATTCATGAATAAGGTTGTTGGTCTTGTTGGTACTGCCATGTGCATATCTATATAAGTATTGACAAAACAATGAAAACATACATATTTATCTCTAAAAAATAATGAAAAGAGTTTTCACATTGTTCTGATTATTCTTCGATCATTAGTTGATTGTGTATAAGCATGATCGATTATGAAATTTCAACCGATTCCTATTCCTAAACTTGACACGTTAAAAGTAATAAGTTATGCCAAAACAATACATGTGTATGGTGATAATTCATAGCCTTACCGGGTTTGTTCCTTCATTGACCTTCTTCTTGTTATGTTATAACTTAGTCCATTAGTTTTCTTAATTGAACTGTACATATCACATTTTCATGTCAGGGCCTTTTATAGCTGACTATATGGTATGGGTTTTTCTCATTTTTGAAGATTGCACGGTTGCCTATAATTGCTTATAACATCATGAACATCATTTGAACTTTGGTGGAAAGTTGTCTCATTTGCAATCATACCACATATCCTTATTTTTATAAATTTTCAATCAGTAAACATCCAAAATCCAAAAAGGAGGTCATTGATAGTCAAAGAAGAGCATGACCTTGTGCAATGCCAAATAAAGGTATCAACAGATGGTAGGACCATGAATGTACATATGTGTATAAAAATAAATACTTAGTTGGATTTTAATTTATAAACAAAAAATCATATTTGTACTGATAAAAACAATATTCAAAGACCTAATTACAGTGTTCAATTGGTAACCTTTTAGAATAAATTTATTTAATAGATATATAAATAAGTTTACCCAGATCGTATCTAAATTTACAGGCTCAGTTAACAACATCACCGCAAAAATTTTGAGGTGCTATCCCCTTTGTAATAATCTTGAATTGAAACCTTTCTACCCTTGATATCTTATAGCATTTCCTAGGTGAAACTTGAGCAGTTTTCCCCCATAATTCAAGCATGGCAACTTCCAGTGATGTAAGAGAGGGCTTCTTATGCCCAATGTGTATGAAGGATCTCGGAACAGTATCCATGTTACAAGATCATTTTGAGGAAGAACATTCAAATGAAGACAAAGATGTGCTACAGCATTTGAGAGGTACATATATAAATGATGCTACAGCATTTGAGAGGTACATGTATAAATGATGCTACACCATTTGAGAGGTACATGTATAAATGATGTTGTGTAACTTATTATGACTACACCATTTAAGAGGTACATATATAAACTGTGTTGTGTAACTTATTATGACTACAGCATTTGAGAGGTACATATATAAATGATGTTGTGTAACTTATTATGACTACAGCATTTGAGAGGTACATATATAAATGATGTTGTGTAACTTATTATGACTACAGCATTTGAGAGGTACATATATAAATGATGTTGTGTAACTTATTATGACTACAGCATTTGAGAGGTACATATATAAATGATGTTGTGAAACTTATTATGACTACACCATTTGAGAGGTACATATATAAATGATGTGTAACAGGGAGGTCGCATCAATGTGACAAAACCCAACAACAAAAATAAGCAAAAGACATCTAGAGGGAAACATACAGTTTATACATGTATCATGAAGAAGTACATATGTATGACTCTGAACCGATGGATTACAGAAACTATATTTTTATTGTTATTTATGTTCACAATCACATGTCAAGGTAGAAGTCAATTTGTTTGATAGAAGCAGTTTTTCAGGTTGTTTAGTCAATCTTCAAGAGTATTCAGCAATATTAAAAAGAATGATCCCTCATTTAGTATGAAACTGTAACTAAGGAAATACATAATATGAAATATATCCTTGTATTCAAATGTTGCAAACACTGCTTAAAGAACATTAACCGTATTGATGCAAATATAATATTAGCAGGGTATTAACAGATGACATTCAAACAGTATACAATTATCACATAATTCTAATTAGTATGGTAAATAGTATAAAAATAAGATGCTGTGTGTCCTACATATATACAATGTACATAACAATAGAATGTCATTTGTTCTCATTATTGCATAGTTTAAGATTTTACAGTGTTGAGAAATAGCAATTTTCTTATTTTTCTCATTAAATGTAGATGTATGCTTGATTTTTAGCCAAGTAGCATTGTTATGTGCCTACGATGTAAGTTTGTGTATCAAGAATTTTGTCTTGGCTGTCAGAGGAACAATATTTTTGATTATGAATAGTATCCTTTTAATTCATACCTATTGAGTGGACCAACATGTCCTACATAACAATATTGCTGTCCATTACACATTCAGAAATATTCATTAAAATACATGCCTTAAACAGTCGAGGGAATTTAAACAAGTTATTACAGAAAATAACAGGCATATTGTTATTGTGTGAATTCTGGTAGAGTTATCTCCTCCTGTCATGAATTGTGTTCGTTATTCTACAAAGAAACAATGTCTGTACTTCCATACAGCTCAATATCAATTAATCTCATACAACTCCAAAGGATTGTTGTCATATAATGATAAAATAGTGATTTCACATGTTCATGGGGGAGGGGTGGGGGGCATGGACAGGGTCTTTTTTTGTTTGTGTTAGCTTCTGCAACTAGCCAGGGGATACCTTTGCTTGTACTGGTTAGTGTCTAGTGTTTATTATGACAAAATATGAGATAACTTAAAAACCATTTAGGATAAAGTATTTGGTGTGTTTGATCTTGTTGAGTGTGCTGTATGCTTTGGGTTATGCTTATTTTTATATCAATAACCCAAGTTCCTGCTTTTTGTACTTATACATTGAGGTTTTTTGGTTGTTCTTTTTTTAGGATTATTTGGTAAAGCTAAGAAGAAGATATTAGGAGAGAAAGAGAACCATGATTATGTAGATCAATCTGATTCTGTTACTGACAGCTATTCTGCTAACTTGACTAAAACTGGTTATGATTCTTCACTATGGGATCCTCAGGAAATAGGTTTGGAATATTGAACAATAGTGGATTTTGTGTCAGACATATTTCATATTAAAGTAAGGAGATGTGCTATGATTGCCAATGAGACAACTATAGGCTCCTGATTTGGGACATTAACTTGACTAAAACTGGCTATTATGTATACTAGTATTATGATTGAAAGTGTTAAAAAAATTCATATAATAGTACATACTTTCAAAGCCTCAAAAGTGATTGCATCAACATCTATTAAAAAAATGCAAGAACATAAATGTTTACTTTGCGTACTAGCATTAAATAAAGCTGAAAATTAGTTCTAAGATTAAACTGTTAATATCAATGATTTTAAAGCATTAGAAGAACAAATCTGAGTTACATGTGATGCTTTATTTGACAGGACAGTTCATTTGTTGTACTAACAGTTATTATTAAAGAGTAGAAGCAAAAATTTAACAATAAAATATCCAAATCTGTTGATTTGTAAAAAAATATTACATAAAACAACATTTGATTCAAATCCTTTTTATTACATTAAAATATTGAATGTATTGATTTGAGCTTTCATACAGAGTATACACTGTGCATTCTGAAACCTCATGCATGATCCCATAATATTTTGTAGGTGTGATTAGAAGTCATACTGATGTATTCAAAGCTACAAGGGGAGCTAGAGTAGACAGATTTGTAGTTGAGACGAACAAACTAATTATTCGACTGGATAAATTAACAGGAAGTAATTCACCTACTGACACAGGGAAAAGGAAAGGTACAGGAAAACATTTTCAGGGAAACATTCCAATTTGTTTAGTCACTATATTTGAAAAAAGATGAAAAAAGGACTGAATCCAATAAGTCTGGTAAATTAGATACATATAACTTATGAAGTTGATTTAAAACTGAAGATTTATTAAGAGTTTGGTTACTATCAGATGTTTAATTATACCCCACGCAACGAGTTGCGGAGGGTATAATGTTTTTGACCCGTCAGTCCGTCAGTCCTGTTTCTTGTCATCGCAACTCCTCTCAAACCACACAACAGAATTTCACGAAACCTTTTTAGATAATAAGGACATACTATGTAGTTGTGCATATCGACAGGAAATTACGATTCAATTCTTTTTCTAGGAGTTACGCCCCTTTGAACTTATTTACTTTAATGTACTACTGCAACAGTTTGTCATCGCAACTCCTCTCAAACCACACAACAGAATTTCATGAAACCTTTTCAGATAATAAGGACATACTACGTAGATGTGCATATCGACAGGAAATTAAGATTCAATTTTTTTTCCAGGAGTTACGCCCCTTTGAACTTATTTACCCAATATACTACTGCAACCTTTTGTCATCGCAACTCCTCTCAAACCACACAACAGAATTTCATGAAACCTTTTCAGATAATAAGGACATACTACGTAGATGTGCATCTCGACAGGAAATTACGATTTAATTTTTTTTCCAGGAGTTACGCCCCTTTGAACTTATTTGCCCAATATACTACTGCAACCTTTTGTCATCGCAACTCCTCTCAAACCACACAACAGAATTTCATGAAACTGTGTAGATAATAAGGACATACTATGTAGATGTGCATATTGACAGGAAATTATGATTCAATTTTTTTTCTTACACTTATTTTATTTCTCCAATGACAATGTAGGGACGTGGGGTATGTGAGCGCGCTCACTAAGGTTCTTTCATTTCTGAATGCACTATGTTATCTTTGATTTTCTTTAAATGTAGAAATTCAGTTTGATACCTTCATTAATAAATCATCCACAAAAATATGTTGTTTGTCCCAGTTTGATAATTAATCATACTGTAAAGTCAGAAATTATTGCGATGTTTTTATTATTGCGACAAATGCGACAGGGTTATAATCGCAATAATTTAAACTCGCATGTTGAAATTTTCATATGAATTAAACATGATTTTTCTCAATATCGCAAAAATTAAAATCGCATTTTAGTCTAAAATGACAAAATCGCAATGATAAATGCATGCAATAATTTCTGAATTTACAGTAGGTTTAGCTTCAGTTGGTTAAACTGTTTTGTCAAAAGAAAAAACTTAAGTGAATCAATGAAAATGCTACCAGTGATTTCATTGAAACAATACAATTAAGGTTAATACAGAAAATGTAACCATTACTGTTTATTAAATGATGAGAAATTCACAAGAACCAATGCATGCATATATACTAAATAGTCGTCTATGCCCTTTTTTTTATATTACGAATCCATAACATATAATCGCCAAAAAATATTTCATTCAGTGATTGTTGATCGGAAATTTTGGCTGCGGATTAACTATCTGGTTTTGTTGCCAAAGTTTACAATTATTTATCTTAATATACAATCAACACAGAATCATGGAGCACGTGAAAAATAGGTGTGATGATAGACAATGTTTAATTATTTTTTTATATTTTCCATGTTTTCCATTTGTTAATTAAAGTTGTCATCTAGCAGTTGTAAAATGATTTGGTTTATTAAAACTTTTCTTTTAGTGTCAATGAACACTATCTACCCACGTTTGTTTACCTTTTCTTTCATCATGGTTTTTCCATTGCACTTGCACTGTGCTTTTCTCAAAGTTTTAACAAGAGTTCTCGTGCTGAAGATCCCTGCATAAGGACAAACAATTGAAGAATTAGAGAAATGGAACACAATAATTCAATAGCAGTACTTTTCTAAAGATTTTTGTAAGATATAGGATTCTGTTTAAAGAAAGCCCATGTACAGTTGTGTTATTTTAAAACAGAAGTACTTGCAGAAAGAGAAAGAAAAAAAAACCATTTCAGATGTATATTGCTTTCAACTATTTCCTTTGTCACTATCTGTTTAGATCAGGTTTTAATTGTTTTACAAACTTCCATCAGTTTATTTGTAATGATACTTATTATATTGTCTTTAATTAGTCTTATGACCTTGGGTTTATTGATTGGTTCCTTAATTATCTTAAGTAAAATATGTTCAACAATATAAGTTTCCACATGGTCAAAGGTGTCAACAAACACTAATCTAATCTTGACCCGGTCGCTCATCTCTTGGTTAAATTATATCATAGAGTTAAATGTTGTAACCCTTGGTTGAAATTTCACCCTTGATTATATTCTATTGTTCATCTTGTGGTTAATTTAATTGTTTGTGAAATCCTTTGTTAAATGATTCAGATTTAACCTTGCTCTGGATCTTGTTTAAATTCCAACCAACCAATATTGTTGTCTAAAAGTATGATTCTCTGTTTATAAGGATGCAAACAAGAGTAGAAACTGGCAATTAAAAGTTCATTACAATATATTCCTTGTTTACTACAGCCATAAATAATCAAAAACTGATAATTAGGTTTTACAGTCCTCCCCCTTTTTGCATCAAGGTTTATATAAAAGAAGATGTGGTATGATTGCCAATGAGACAAATATTCACAAGAGACCAAATGACACAGAAATTAACAACTAAGGTCACCGTACGGCCTTCAACAATGAGCAAAGTCAATACGGCATAGTCAGCTATAAAAGGCCTCGAACTGACAAATGTAAAACAATTCAAACAAGAAAACTAATGGCCTAATTTATGTACAAAATAATGAACGAAAAACAAATATGTAACACAGCAACAACGACAACCACTGAATTACAGGCTCCTGACTTGGGAGAGGCACATACAGAATGTGGCGTGGTTAAACATGTTAGAGGGCGCCCAACCCTCCCCCTAATCCTGGGACAGTGGTACAACAGAACAATACAAGAGCTGAACAAAACAATAAACAAACAACACATATCTATGTTCATATTTGTACCATCTTTACATAATCAAATTAACATATTTTTTATACCCTGTTATCTTCTATGTCCGTTAAAAATCATGCTGTAACATAAAGCATATTTTAAAAGACAATGTATTTATCTAAAATCAATTACAATTCAAAAATTATCAATTCTTTTAAAATCAAATAGTGATATCTGTCACGTCAACATTGTAGTTGAACTATTTAATGAACTTCAAGGCTGAAAAGTATTTTGATTTTAAACAACTCATCCTTTTTATAGAACAGTATGTATAGGGCTGGAGGAGAGTGTTGAAATTAAATAAAAAATGAACATTCACTGAAAATATAACCACGAGTTATGTAACCAAGTGTTAAAAAGAAGTTGAGCAACAGAATTTTAACCCTTTGTTAAGTAACCATTGGTTAAATAATTTAACATTGGGTTATATTTAACCAAAAGATGAATAACTGGGTCCTAATTGTTATACAAACATATTGATTAACTTTAAATTAATCAAGGATACTTCCCAAGTCAGGATTTTTTTTTTTTCGTAAATTGTTTTGGTATAGATTAGGCTGTTAGTTTTCTCATTTGAATTGTTTCTTACTTTTCATTTTGGGGCTTTTTATAGCCTACTATACGGTATGGGTTTTTCTCATTGTTGCTCATAATTGCTTACATCCACTTCATTCTAGCTTTAGTGGATAGTTGTCTAATTTGCAATCAGACATCTTCTTATTTTTATATTACTTTGATACAAAATAAAAACATATGATTTCAATATTTGATTTATTTTCAGCTTTTGAGAAGTCTGTTGTTCCTTGGATGCCAGATAAATACGTACAGACATGTCCAGATTGTACCCGTAACTTTTCTCTTACCAGACGAAGACACCATTGTCGATTGTGTGGTGGAATAATGTGTGATAAGTGTTCACATTTCCTTCCTCATACATTTGCAAGTAGGGACTTGTTTTAATTAGTTTGCCTCAACAAAGTCCTTTTCACATTATTCTTTCACATACATTTGCAATTAGGGGCTTTTAAAAAAAAATTAGATAAGAAGAGATGGTATGATTGCTTATGACACAACTCTCCACCAGAGACCAAATGTTGTAGAAGTTATCAACAATAGGTCAATTGTACGTACAGCCTTCAACAATTAGCAAAACCCATACCATATATTAAGCTATAAAAGGCCCTGGAAATGACATATGTAAACAATGAGAAAACTAATGGCTTGATTCATGTACAAGACAATAAACAAAAAACAAATATGATATACAGTAACAAACAACAACCACTGAATAACAGGCTTCTGGCTTGGGACACATGGGACAGGCACATGCAGAATGTGGCAGGGTTAAACATGTTTGCCCCTAACCTGGTACAGTGGTGAAACAGTACAAAATAAGAACAATTAAACTATAAAAATCCATTGTAAAGGACTTGCAACATCAGATTGATACAAAGCAGTAGTTTTCAAATGGATCAGACTGTTCAGACAAAAGTTTTTCAACTTCGTAAAATTTTCTCCAAAGGTTTACTTCTGATGTTGGTTATTTTCTTATATGCAATGAAATTGTGTGTGAAATTTTTATTAAAGTACTGAAAAGGATAAAACTTTATTCTTTCTTTAGTATAACTATGTGTAAAACAAAGATAAATTCTGCACATTTTTTTGAAAAATGTCAATCTAACAAAGACTATTAGGGGTAAAACAATGACTGACAATTTACGCTTTATTGACTTCAATTAGGTTTAACATCCATTTGGATCTCAGATACATCATAAGGAACATATGAAAGCCGTACGGTGACCTATAGTTGTTAACTTCTATGTCATTTGGTCTCTGGTGGAGAGTTGTCTCATTGGCATTGAAGGCTGTATGGTGACCTATAGTTGTTAACTTCTATGTCATTTAGTCTCTGGTGGAGAGTTGTCTCATTGGCAATCATACCTCATCTTCTTATTTTTAAATATCAGCCTCCAAAGGATATTGCTGAAAATAGTTCAATGTAAAAGTTAATTTCTCTGATACTTTGTGATCATATTTAGTCCAATATAATAAATATAAAGAAAAATATTTATTTGTGTTGTGGAATAATGTGTGATAAATGTTTATTCTTTTTCACATTATGAAATTGAACTTGGATAACTGAGTTGAATATGTTATGATACTCATTACATTCCAGTCAGTTTGAAAACCGAGTACTCTTAAAAGGATGGAAAGATAACTTTTGTATTGCTTTGGGCTGTAAATCACATTATTGACATGCTTCAAAAATCAAGGTATTTAATTATCAATCAAGAAAAATATTTATTTGTGTGGTGAAATAATATCTGTTAAATGTTTACAGAGAAGCTGACAAACCCAGCTTTTCAGACAGAAATGGAGGTTGGTTTTCTAAAGAGAACAGGTAGCAACAGTAGCCTTAATTCATTGATGAGTCCTGAGGGAGAGGCTCATATACGTACATGCAATAACTGTCGTAAATTATTGGAGCGGAGAGATCAACAAATTCAACAACGTAATGTTAAACCACCAATAGTTATTATGTATGAGGTAATATAATCATCATATGTATAAAAACAGTTCTGTTTACTTTTTTGGGTAAAGATTGCATGAAATGCAATCAAAACCCTATGGTACTGACTTGATATCTAAATCTTCCAAGGTTTATCACTACTTTTGAGATACAAGAAATATAGTGCATTGATCATAACATTCTAAACATCCTATCCATGAACATTTCTAGAAATTTAACAATGAAATATATGCTCAGATATTCAAGTTACAAAATACTTGTCAAGAAAATTACATAACTTGTGCAAGGTGCAGGAATCTAAGATCTGTTTTAAAAATATCAATGATGTCATTGTTAAAGTAATCTTTAAAATTGGAGTTGTCTTTCTTTGTCCATAATTTTAGAACTTTGAATCAACTACAACCAATGCTTTATACAATGCAATGTTTAATTTTACTTCCCACTGATAAATTATAGCAATCTTTACCCTTCAGTTCTTACTAGCACTTTGATTATACATTGTATTTAGTGTAAGTGATAAGTTTTATCCGTTATTTTTGTACAGCCATTATTTAGGTATAGATAAAGGTTTAAAGACAACTACTTTCAGTGCAATAGATATAACAAATAGTTATAGTTGTCTAATTTCCAATCACACCACATCTCATTATATTTATATCTCACTCTGTAAGTGGGGGCTATATTGCAATAACCTTGTCCATCTGACAAAACTAAACCCAATACTTAAATGTTTGTACTAGCATGTTTACTAAACCTAATTAGGGGTTCCGTGTCAACTCAGTACTTCAGTATTCAGTACTTGATTTTATGCTTACACATGTTTTTAATAAATATGAACATTAACATTCAGAAGTATTTATCTTACAATTCTTAACCATCTTGGTGGTCTCGTGGTAGCAGTTCACCTCGATTGCGAGAGGTCTTGAGTTCCAACCCCAGCTTGGTCAAACCAGAGACTTTAAAATTGGTATTTGCTGCTTCTCTGCCAAGAAAACAGCATTAAGGAGTAAGAGCAAAGACTGGTCAGCTCCGAGTCAGAATAATGTGTCCGGGTAAGGTGACATGTCTACCTGTGGACTGTTATCTTGTGAGCTAGCATGTTAAAAATCCTGCTCAGCGTGTCGGTCTAGTACAAAGCACGGTAAACATTCATATTACATTAAGATGTTCTCTTCCTGAATATGCATATTAATTTGCCGCTGGACGTTAAGCAGCCATCCATCATCATCTTACACTTATTTTAAATGTATTTTAGAAATTGCAGTCTTATGTTGAAAATGCACAGATGTTATTGAAAGAGTTTATACCAATGGTAGAATCACTGAGGTTGGTTTTCAATAAGAGAATAACTTGCATATATCCAATATAGACAGAAAAAAAATCAAACACCACGCCAGGTATAAATGGCCCGAGACCACAGTTAATTACCCCACTTTTCATTGTCCACGAATATAGTTCCTTGTTATTATAGTGTCTTTTTTCTTTATTTTTGTTCTCTGCCTTCCTGATTCATTTCTTAGTTTTTATAGGGTGGTAATGAAAGAAGAGAGTTGAAATTAATTTTTAGATGCATTATTTTAACTATTCAGTAGTGGGAATGAGTGATAAGGCCAGTTGCAAAAGGTAACATTTATAGTTTTCAGAACATCTCTTGACTTGTCCATACCAGTATGGATGTGTTTTGGCTAATTTAATGACCTACACAGAAGGGATTTTCCTAAAAGTTGGATATAATGTGAGACTTGTACTGTACATTACACATACCAAAAATTTTGCAAATTTGCAGTTAATTTTTTTTCAATGTAAAAAAACATTATAAAGAAATGATAGGGTAATTAATTGTGGTCTGTGGCCAGATTCTGAAATGAAAATTTTGAAGAAAAAAAAAAGAAATCAGGCATTTAAAAATGGACAAAACATATTTACTTTTCAATGAACATTATCCTATATATAGATTAATTATTATATGATGCAGCATTTATTATGAACGTTTAACATTTACAAGTTTATTTAACTGTAGATTAAGCTTCATTTGAATAGCAAAATTCTGCTAGAATAAGATCTTCAAAAAAAAGAGACTTTTAAAAAATTCACATGTATATTCCTGTCGAAAGAGAGCTTCCATTAACTGCTTTAAATAAAACATTTGAAAAGAATTGATTTAATGTTATACATTATGTTTGAACAGTCTGTTATGAAGTCTGATTAGCTGGTTCTAATCTGTGATGCATTGTCATGGGTTTGAATGTGATTTTCATAACATAAGTAACAATCAGTTGTTAAAGCACATCTTGAATATTTTTATTAAAAATCAAAGCTCTATATCAATGTTTTAACAATTTCCTTTGACAAATACTTTTTTGCTGTCTTTTTCAGTTGTGGTGAGTCAACCTATAACATGTATACAGCACAACAGTACAGAAATAAAATCCTAAAGATGTATGAAAGTATTGACAGTGTTAGGTAAATATAATATGTATACAGCACAACAGTACAGAAATAAAATCCTAAAGATATATGAAAGTATTGATAGTGTTAGGTAAATATAATATGTATACAGCACAACAGTACAGAAATAAAATCCTAAAGATATATGAAAGTAATGACAGCATTAAGTAAATATTCTTTTCTTTTCTTTTCATTTTTTGGTTGTCCCCAATTGTATGCAGATATCTTGCAGATCAATTAAATTTGTTTGTAAAGGAGTTAGTTTATTTTTGGTCTGACATGCTTACTAACTTACACAAAAAAAATGTTAATATAGGTAAATGTAGATAGTGATGTCAATTCATTGAAGAATTAGTTATTGAATACTCTTTGGCTTTACAGAGTGATACTATAAGTACTCACTCAGAAAAATATCTGCAAAATGGAAACATAGAATTATACCCATTTTTTTACGTATTGTGGGTTGTTGCTTAATGAACGTAAAACCGTCAAGATTATTGACGAGGACAAGATTAAAGTTCAAAGTTTGTTTAATAAACATGTACTGATAAATAATTACAAAAGTATTTGGTAATTGTAAAGAAAACACATTTTATGATTAACAAAAGGTTGATGATTAGAACTTATTGATGTGTTTACCCATTTTCTGAGGGTCACCACAAAGTGCAAATAATTTGTTTTTATTTAGAAATATCTTTGTGGACACAGTCGGTTTCTCAACTTTGTTACTTGACTAACAGTCCTGCAGAGGAAACACAGGGATAACAATCTGGCAGCAGCAACATCATAAATTATTTTTATAAAGCTTTATATTTCAGAAGGTAGAAGACCTAGATGCTTCATACTTTGTAGTTAGTTACTTTATGTTTTGAAGTTTCTGTCTCTCATATGTCCATTGTCCTTGACCTCATTTTCATTGTTCAGTGACTGCTTGAAAAAAAATTTCAATATTTTTGTCAAGTGAAATACTCACTTTTTATGAGTAATAGGATAACCATATTTGGTATAAGGGTGGCTTGCAACTTCTACATGTCCTTCAGGTAGGGTTCACCTGACCTCAACCTCATTTCATGGATAAGTGATCAAGATTAAAGATACATGATCAAGGCCATATCTCAGATACTATAAGCATTAGGTCAACTATATTTTATGTATTGAATGATTGCAAGATGTAAATGTCCAACTGGCAGGTTTCATCTGACCTTGACCTAAATTTCATTATTCATTGGACAATGTTCAGTTTTTAAACGCCTGTTTACGGGTCGTATTATGGTATACATTTGTCTTTCCCCTAGTCTGTCGTCAGCATGTCGAACAATAACTCAAAAACACTTTTACCAACTTGCATGAAACTTTATTGAATTGTTTATATCTATTGACGTGAGCTCATTTTCATTGTTCAGTGACTGCTTGAAAAAAAATTTCAATTTTTTTGTCAAGTGAAATACTCACTTTTTATGAGTAATAGGATAACCATAATTGGAATAAGGGTGGCTTGCAACTTCTACATGTCCTTCAGGTAGGGTTCACCTGACCTCAACCTCATTTCATGGATAAGTGATCAAGATTAAAGATACATGATCAAGGCCATATCTCAGATACTATAAGCATTAGGTCAACTATATTTTATGTATTGAATGATTGCAAGATGTAAATGTCCGACTGGCAGGTTTCATCTGACATTGACCTAAATTTCATTATTCATTGGACAATGTTCAGTTTTTAAACGCCTGTTTACGGGTCGTATTATGGTATACATTTGTCTTTCCCCTAGTCTGTCGTCAGCATGTCGAACAATAACTCAAAAACACTTTTACCAACTTGCATGAAACTTTATTGAATTGTTTATATCTATTGACGTGAGCTCCTTTTTAATTTTATAAATTTTAGATTTTACGTTTCCGAGTTTTGGGCTTTTGTTCATTAAAAAAGGAGTGATTTTCCAGTTTTCAGACAATAATTCAAAAGTGCTTTTAGCAGTTTTAATGAGACTTTTGTGAATGATTTAAATCTATTAAGATAACCTCCCTTTAGTTTTTTTTATAAACTTCTGATATGACGTTGAGGAGTTATGGAACTTTATTCTTAGAAAAAGGGATGGGCGTATCATGCGCTCATGGCACAGCTCTTTATTGTGGTTAGGTCTATTTTTCAGATATTATAAGGAATAGGGTCACTAAATTTGTAGTATGGAATGATGTTAAGGTGAACATGTCCGTCTGGCTTGTTTCATCTGACCATGTCCTCATTTTCATGTTTCATTGGTTAGTGTGTAGTTTTTGTGACTTGGTCTATTTCTAAAATATTATAAGCAATAGGTCAATTATATTTGGTGTATGGAAAGATTGTAAGGTGTACATGTCTGTCTGGCATGGTTCATCTGAACGTGACCTCATTTTCATAGAACATTGATAATGTTAACTTTATGTGATACTTGTAGTAAATCCTATTACAGACTTTCAACATGAATTCAATGACGAGTCAAACAGGCGAGACATTTCAGTGTGTGCTCTCTTGTTGACCTCTTTATGCTTTTTTTTTCATTTGACAGTAAAAGAATTTTGGTACATGAAATGAATCATTGACTTCTTTATGTTTTTTTTAATCAACAGTAAAAGAATATGGATGCATGAGACAAATGCTGACCCCCCTCCACCAGCAACACAACTAAAAATGCAGAAAAATATCCGAACCATGGCAACAAGTTTTATGCAAGATAATATGATTGGTCTGCAGGCTTTACCATCCGAGGAACATTATAAAAAATTACAAGAAGCTAGAAAAATTGAAATTCAACAACGGATTGCCGATGAAAGACAGGCTTCTGCCGAGGCACAGGAAAAGGAGAGAAAACAACAGGAACAAAGGGAGATAACTACAAAACATCAAATTCATCCCTCTAATAGGGACTCGGATCAACCAGCTAAAGTGCAATCCCAGAAGAAATCTGGCTGGATACCAGAAGAAACCAGTATACGTTACAGTGACAAAGACGATCCTATGGTTCAACAGATGAATATAATCAGGGGCTATATCAAACAAGCTAGACAAGCAGAAAAGTTTGATGAAGTTAAAATGTTAGAACAAAATTTAAAAGATTTACAACAAGAATATCTTAGGCAACAAAGACAGAATTGGTCATAATAGTTCTAAATTTAATTAAGTATGTTATTGTAATTTTGTTATCTATTTATTTTGAATTAGCTTAGATACCAGTCTTCTTTCATAACAAAAGGTTCACACTGTGTGTTTCTTCAAAATCAGTCTTATATAAATCTCCTGTTTGGTTTTATTTCAAACACATCACCAAGTTTATTTTCCCACTCATGAACAGTTTTATTCAATTTTTTGAGACAAAAAAATATCAGTTTGTATTGAGTATCAACCAGTAACAAATATATATTTATATATCTACAAGGTGAAATTTTGACAATTTTGTGGAAGTTTTTTGTTTAGCCTGCGACTTTTGTCGCAGAAAGCTCGACATAGGGATAGTGATCCGGCGGCAGCGGCGTTAGCTAACTTCTTAAAAGCTTTATATTTTAGAAGGTGGAAGATCTGGATGCTTCATACTTTGTATATGGATGCCTCATGTTACGAAGTTTCTGTCAGTCACATGTCCAATGTCCTTGACCTCATTTTCATCGTTCAGTGACTACTTGAAAAAAAAGTTAAGATTTTTTGTAATGTTAAATTCTCTCTTATTATAAGTAATAGGATAACTACATTTGGTATGTGCGTACCTTGCAAGGTCCTCATGCCCGTCAGACAGTTTTCACTTGACCTCGACCTCATTTCATGGATCAGTGAACAAGGTTAAGTTTTGGTGGTCAAGTCCATATCTCAGATACTATAAGCAATAGGTCTAGTATATTCGGTGTATGGAAGGACTGTAAGGTGTACATGTCCAACTGGCAGGTGTCATCTGACCTTGACCTCATTTTCATGGTTCAGTGGTTATAGTTAAGTTTTTGTGTTTTGGTCTGTTTTTCTTATACTGTATGCAATAGGTCTACTATATTTGGTGTATGGAATGATTGTAAGGTGTACATGTCTAGCTGGCAGGTGTCATCTGACCTTGACCTCATTTTCATGGTTCAGTGATCAAAGTTAAGTTTTTGAGTTATGGTCTTTTTTTCTAATACTATATGCAATAGTTCAACTATATTTGGTGTATGGAAATATTTTATGATCTATATGTCAGTCACGCAGGTTTTATTTGACCTTGACCTCATTTTCAAGGTTCATTGCTCAGTGTTAAGTTTTTGTGTTTTGGTCTGTTTTTCTTAAACTATAAGCAATAGGTCAACTATATTTGTTGTATGGAAGAATTGTTAGCTGTACATGCCTGCCTAGCATGGTTCATCTGACCTTGACCTCATTTTCATGGTTCATTGGTCAATGTTTAGTTTACTTGGTTAATGTTAAGTTTATGTGACAGTTGTAATAAAGCTTTATATTTAGGACTATCAACATAATATCAATGATAAGAATAGAAGGCGAGACATTTCAGCGTGTGCACTCTTGTTATAAATGGTTTTGGCTGTTGTTTTCAAGATTCTCAAAGGTTGTAACTGTATTTATCTGTCATTTTGTTTTCCCAATTCATGGACTCAACATAACAATTTAATTATTTTAACTTGATATTCCTGACGACTGAAATAAAATTCCCTCTTGAAGTAGATGAAAACAAAGGGATAACACATATTGAATTGATATTGACTGGTTGTTAGATAAATACAATATCAATGATAATTCATATGCTTACAACATCTTTTTAATCCTCAGACAAATAATCAACACTATGTATAACCAACATGTCAGTTAAACACAACTGATTAATTTAACTTCTATAAAACTGTTAAGTATATTTTTGAATTGTGTAATTTATTCTATAATGTGCAATGCTTTATCTTGCAGGGAATTTCATTATTTGATAAATTTTAATTTTTTAATAGTTTTTTTTTTAAATATGTAGATTTCATAAATAATTGATTATACATATATATATATATAATTCTAGTCTAAATTTATAAATGTATTATTTACAATATTGTATGCATCTCAATCATGGATTAACAAATTAGTATTTTCTCTTGTTGTACATGTACTTACTAGTGATAATGGGGCCCTTTATAGCTTGCTGTTCGGTGTGAGCCAATGCTCCGTGTTGAAGGCCGTACCTTGACCTATAATGGTTTACTTTTATAAATTGTAACTTGGATGGAGAGTTGTCACTCATACCACATCTTCCTATATCTGGTACTAGTTTTATACTTCCAATTCAAACCACATTTAAAAAGGATAAAGTGTGCTGTAAGAAATACATGTATTTCTCTTTATTAGGGGGCACCTTTTCCTTTCAAAAGGAGCTTATATATTCATGGAATGTAGCTCACAGTATGTTTTTTTAAGACATTCAGGCATACCATATGTGATTGAGAGAACTACTTTACAAAACTTTATTTACAAGAATTGGGTGATTGAAAAGAAAGTCTAGAGACATCATAATATTATTAAACTATGCAATATAAATGTTACTTTGCCAGAAATAAAAGATACCATAATTGTTCATTTAGCTATTATGAAGGTTTGTTGATCAAGGTATCTATAGCTATCAAATACTTGTACCTTTTTTTTTTAAATCAGCTGATTATTGATTTTTTGTAAAAATTGAAAAGTGCAAAATGTGATAATGGCGACTTCCAGGGAAAAATCTGGCTACACTGCATTTTCAAATTTGCTTCAGTTTAAACAGAGAATTATGATTTTTTTTTTATTGTGCTACACTGCATTTTTACTTTCCTTTACTTAAAACAGAGAATCATGATTGGTTGAATTGTGTTACACTTCATTTTCACTCTACTTCAGTTTAAACCGAGAATCGTGATTAGTTGATTGGGCTACACAGCATTTTCACTCTGCTTTACTTTAAACAGAGAATCATGATTAGTTGAATTTGGCTACACTTCATTTTCACTCTGCTCAAGTTTAAACAGAGAATCATGATTAGTTGAATTGTGCTACACTGCATTATCACTCTGCTCCGGTTAAAACAGAGAATCATGATTAGTTGAATTGTGCTGCACTGCATTGTCACTCTGCTTTAGTTTAAACAGAGAATTGATCAGTTGAATTGGGCTTCACTGCATTGTCACTCTGCTTCAGTTTAAACAGAGAATCATGATTAATTGAATTGGGCTACACTGCATTGACCCTCTGCTTCAGTTTAAACAGAGAATCATGATTAATTGAATTGGGTTCAGTTCATTTTCACTCTGCCTCAGTTTAAACAGAGAATCATGATTAGTTGATTGGGCTACACTGCATTTTCACTCTGCCTCAGTTTAAACAGAGAATCATGATTAGTTGATTGGGCTACACTTCATTTTTACTCTGCTTTACTTTAAACAGAGAATCATGATTTGTTGTTAGTCAAACAATTACAATGACTTGTTGTAATAGTATCTGTGATAAGGAACCACCAGTTTTATGATTAAATGGCATTAAGAATAATTTTTGCAATTGTTATTTTTTACTTTGCTTACATAATATGCATTATTAAAACATCATATTATTTAAAAGGTGTGATTTGTTACTTGTTTCAATTATAAAAAGGGCCTTGGTGGGTGAGTGGTCTCGTTTGTTATAAAAGGGGCCTTGGTGACGGAGGCATCTTATTTCAATTATAAAAGTGTCCTTGGTGGCCCAGTGGTCTTGTTTAAATTATTAAAGGGGCCTTGGTGGCCCAGTGGTCTTGTTTCAATTTTAAAAGGGGCCTTGGTGGCCCAGTGGTCTTTTTTTTAATTATCAAAAAAATATGTATTAACTAGGTCTTACTAACAATAGATAAGTATTATCCAAGTTTTAAATAGATATATTTAAATAGATAAGATGTGGTATGAGTGCCAATGAGACAACTCTCCATCCAAGTCACAATATTTAAAAGTAAACCATTATAGGCCAAAGTACGGCCTTCAACACGGAGCCTTGGCTTACACCTAGCAGCAAGCTATGAAGGGCCCCAAAAATGACTAGTGTAAAACCATTCAAACAGGAAAACCAACGATCAAATCTATATAAACAAGAGTGCACACGCTGAAATGTCTCGCCTTCTTTACTAACCATTGATATTATGTTGATAGTCCTAAATGAAAGCTTTACATAAACTTAACATGATCCAAGAAAATGAAGTCAAGGTCATATAAACCAAACGAGAAATACATGTACACCTTACAATCATTCAATACACTAAATATAGTTGACCTATTGCTTATAGTTTCTAAGAAACAGACTTAACCAAGAAAACTAAACACTGACCAATGAATCGTGAAAATGAGGTCAAGGTCAGATGAACCATGCCAGGCAGACATGAACAGATTACAATCCTTCCATACAACAAATATAGCTGACCTATTGCTTATAGTTTAAGAAAAACAGACTGAAACACATAAACTTAACACTGAGCAATGAACCGTGAAAATGAGGTCAAGGTCAAATAAAACCTGCGAGACTGACATGTACATCATAGAATATTTCCATACACCAAATATAGTTGACTTATTGCATATAGTATAAGAAAAAAGACCAAAACTCAAAAACTTAACTTTGACCACTGAACCATGAAAATGAGGTCAAAGTCAGATGACACCTGCCAGTTGGAGATGTACACCTTACAATCATTCCATACACCAAATAAAGTAGACCTATTGCATAAAGTATAAGAAAAACGGACCAAAACACAAAAACTTAACTACAACCACTGAACCATGAAAATGAGGTCAAGGTCAGATGACACCTGCCAGCTAGACATCACTACAAACCAGTAAAAGTCTGAAATGGCCTATATTTGTACTCGACTGTACTGATTTTTACTCGACCAGTCTGAATTGGTCTGAAATTTACTTGATAATACTAGACTGTAGTCTGAACCATACTTAACAGTCTGAACTTGTACTCGACCTTTACTTGACCAGTACTTAACCATTTTATTTTCGTCTGAACCATGCTCGACCTAGTCTGAACCATGCTCGACCTAGTCTGAACCATGCTCGACCTAGTCTGAACCATACTCAACCTAGTCTGAACCATACTCGACTAAGTCTTGTATCTATCTATTGTATTTCAACAATTTAAGAACTGTTTTTAACAGCTATTTCCCCTGGCTAGAAATTTGAACAACAATTTGAAATTTAAAATGTATTCAATATGGCATTGAAACCAAAATTACACAATAAACATAATATAAATTCAACACCATATTTATCAACACTTACATATATATATATCACCTTTAAAATAAAAATAAAACAAGCTGATCAAATAATCTCAAAACTGAATTGTGACTAATAAATGTTATTCAAATTTTTTTGAATGTTTCAGATATAATTTATGGTTACTGGACAATTTTCACCATTTACTTAAGCCTTGTATAGATTTATGGTGTCAGTTGAGTTTAGTTAAAGGGAAAATTCGCGATTTTTTACTTATCATCTTATTATGTTCATAATACCATAAAAAACATATTCACCAAGTTTTATGTGGATGTGAACACTAATAAAGAAGAAAATTAGGAATTATTAATTTTATTTATTCGAACTTCCTGACTTCTGTGATGTAGTTTAAGTCTATTTGCATGCCGGGAGTGGATTTAATCTCATGTTAAATCTTATTCGTTAATCAACTTATAACGCGATTTAAAGCGTATCGACGACTATTTTGCGTATCTATTAACCAACTAATAATTAAGTGGGTAAAGTGATCAGCCGTGCAACTTTTTAAATCAAAATGTACGATTTATATTTTAGGGATTTTGGATATGATTATTGTAATAAAAGTAAATCATACAATAGAATATTTTTATGATTTTTTTTCTGACGGATATGTTGAACAAACATTTATAACTGATAGTGTAATATAAATGCATGTTTGTATTCTCACCTTTTACTTCAGTCAAGGATTTGTCTTACTATACAAATCCTTGCTTCAGTCTAGCAAACATTTCCCGCTAGTACTGTGTAAATACAATTGTGTATTATACTGACACTACCTGGTAAATGCGTGGTTAAATTCACGATAATTAAAAGATTAGCATTATGTAATTTTAATCTTTTGATCTTCACTAGAGAGTTGTTTGGCCTCAAGGGTTCACCGTTTCAGGTGTGAAAAACATAAAAAAAATTGATAAAAGAGAAGTGTGCCGGTTTTCAGACAGAAAAAATAAAATGCTTCGCTGGGGCGCAGCTTGATACGACCGCAGAGGTCGAACCCTGAACAGTTGGGGCAAGTATGGACACAACATTCAAGCTTGATACAGCTCTGAATTTGGATTGTTATTAAATATTTGACACAGCATAGGTTTCTGACACAGAAAGAATGTGGTCTAAGAACTTGAATTTTTTTAATTTACCTATTATGGTCCAATGTCCAAAATCAAAATACATGGTTAGATTCAGCATATCAAAGAACCCCATATATTCAATTTTTGTTAAAATCAAACAAAGTTTAATTTTGGACCCCAACTTGGACAAACTTGAAAACTGGGCCCATAATCAAAAATCTAAACACATGTTTAGATTCAGCATATCAAAGAACCCCAAGAAATCAATTTTTGCTAAAATCAAACTAAGTTTAATTTTGTACCCTTTGGACCTTAATGTAGACCAATTTAAAAAACGGGACTTAAAATTAAAAATCTAAATACACGGTTAGATTTGGAATATCAAAGAACCCCAATAATTCAATTTTTGATGAAATCAAACAAAGTTTAATTTTGGACCCTTTTGACCTCAATATGAACCAATTTGATAGCAGGGCCCACAAATAAAAAATCTAAATTCATGGTTAGATTCAGCATATCAAAGAACCCCATATATTCAATTTTTGTTGAAATCAAAAAAAGTTTAATTTTGGACCCCAACTTGGACCAACTTGAAAACTGGGCCAAAAATCAAAAATCTAAATACATGTTTAGATTCAGCATATCAAAGAACCTCATATATTCAATTTTTGCTAAAATCAAACAAAGTTTAATTTTGGACCCTTTGGACCTTAATGTAGACCAATTTAAAAAACGGGACTTAAAATTAAAAATCTAAATACACGGTTAGATTTGGAATATCAAAGAACCCCAATAAGTCAATTTTTGATGAAATCAAACAAAGTTTAATTTTGGACCCTTTTGACCTCAATATGAACCAATTTGATAGCAGGGCCCACAAATAAAAAATCT